CTGCTGAAAGAGCAGAACTGCGTGGGAAAGAGACTACCTCGAAAATAGTTAGGTCTTTTATAGTTATCTTCCTCTCTTGGATCCTAGTTTTAGGTACGTTAGAGCTCTAATATTTTCGTCTTTGGCTCTGTAGTTATTTTTCGTGGCCTATTATAAGAGTTTAATGGATACTGAACAACTTGGATTGCTGAGATCGTACTGAGCAGTCCTTACTGATAAGCAAAATCAGGCTTGTAGCTGGTAATAGGCATGGTAGAAACGGAGATTGATGCAAATTTCCTGATCTAATTTTTGCTTAAACTACTATGCTATTTAGTAGAATTGGAGAGGGGGAAATGATGTCTCGTTTGTGGCCCTTTCAAAGGAAAACCTACTGATGCCATTTTTTTTTCACCGGTGCCGTTTTTTTTTCACTGTGTATTTTTCTCCTGAGTGAGGTCCTGTCATACTTAGCGCAAAACCTTTTTGTACGTGCAAACTACTTACGCTGCTACAGCACACCTCCCGTGTTGTGTTTTACGATGGATCACGTCCCTTTTGTGTGCAAAGAGCAGGAGTTTGCACTGTATTTGATGGGACTTACCGTAGAGGTCTCTTCCAGGAGTCCCAGAACCATTCTTGGTTCAGAAACAGTTTAGTCCTTGTTCTAAAATGAGTGGGTTCTGAAATAACACAACAAAATCCTGGTTTAGCGTTTGTGTAAGTACGTGGTATAGAAAAGTAAGAGGTTTTAACACAAAGGGACATTCATTAAATCTTCTGTATATGGTAACAATAGAACAAAAGCAAAGGAATTTTTTTCTTTATGTAAATACATATTCCAATTACAGATAAAGAAAACAATGCTCACATTTAACATTTGGGTGGGTTTTTTATGAATTATGATCAGGTAGTATTGTAGCTGATATACAGCTATTATATCAGCTACAATATACTGATTGTAGTATATCAATCTATATATAGATTGATATCTATCTATATCTGCCGGAAAGGTTGTTTTTTATGGTTTTAAGATTTCTCTATCTGATATTTTGTTTTGCAGTATTATGTGCCAAGAATCTTGCAAAGAAAGATTTCTTCAGTAAGTATGCCCTAATTGTATAACTTTCTGCTCTTGATTAATCAGATTTATTTGTAGATTGTGCATTACTGTCATGGCTCATCTATGTATGTTATTTGTTCCGTGGTTCCATTCTTGCAGTAACATTGCATTACTGCCTGAGTAGACATTACCCTGAATTGTGTGTAGGTAGCATAGACTCTAGGAGTGGAAGGACCGAGGACTCACAAATTCTAGTTTAAATTCTGGGACTCGCAGACTGATGAGACCACAAGCAGGTCGCTGCTTACAATTTGGGGCGGGAGTACCAAGAACATCCCTCTCGGACAGCTCTGTAAAGCATGCCACGGGTGTGAGTACAGTACCCCAGTGCTGCAGTCTTGCTATTATCTTAAGGACTGAATAAAAATGCCTACTTACAAGTATGCATGGGTATGCACTGTTAAATTAAATACATTTAACCTTTTGTTTTCTAAAAACTTTCACACTATACAGTAGATACCAATCTGTATGACAGAAGTACATTATCTAATTAGGAACTCAGTTCTCTGTTTTGGGTCTACTAAAATAGTTTTAGGATAAAGGCAACTTTCTGGGAGGGTGGAAGTGGGGGGAAGCAGGAGCTCATGATAGCGTTATCTTAGAAGAAACAAAGCAAAAAATATTGTGTTTAATAGCACCTTTTTGCTTCCGCAGGACTTCCTGACCCATTTGCAAAAATAGTTGTTGATGGGTCAGGTCAGTGCCATTCAACTGACACTGTGAAGAACACACTGGACCCCAAATGGAACCAGCATTACGATCTGTGAGTTGTTTGTAAGGTCATAAGTAAAAAATATTCCAGAGATTTATCTAGTAAATGGAATGCAAGGGTTGGCACTGCAACTTTGTTTTGTGTTGGCAAGAAGAGTCACATTTGCTGAGGAGGACTGACTTTCTGCAGCAAGAAATTACCTGTTAATAAAGGAGTGGTGCTTTGCTTTTGGGTGTTTGAATTTGGAAATATTTGTGTCAGGTACACAGCACAACTGCTTAGAGTACACTCTACTGGAGCAGTGCAGTCCAGCTTTTACAAAAGATTGTCCTTGTTGTAGTGATTAATTTTCTTCAAATTATTAGAAACATACATTTTAAAGTTTTGTACGTTAATCAGCTTGTTGCACAGATTCTAGTGAGGCTGTCTATAGTTAAATTCATGCTGCAGCAATATCAATTTAACATGCTGTGTGAGATCATAGTGCAATAATTCATTAATAACACCTTTTCAGCCTTAAGCACTTCTGTATTTATAATAAAGCAGCATGACCAATGTACCAAACTGTATCAGAATTTGTACCGAATAAAGCATAGATTCTGTGGAGTAAAAAGAGGTTATTTTTTTCCTAAAATTATTCTTCTAATATGTATTTTTCTAGATATGTTGGGAAGACAGATTCCATAACCATCAGTGTATGGAACCATAAAAAAATCCACAAGAAACAGGGAGCTGGCTTCCTGGGGTGTGTCCGACTCCTCTCCAATGCCATCAGCAGGCTAAAAGATACTGGATGTAAGAGCAATTCCTCCCTGGAGCAATCAAGAACCTTCCGTGCCTTGTATCTGAGTAGTGACTAGTATTCTCACCCATCCCTCCCCAGTGTTTTGTTGATCTTTCCAATTCTCATTTGCAGACCAGCGTTTGGATCTATGCAAACTAAATCCCACAGATACCGATGCTGTACGAGGCCAAATAGTGGGTAAGAATACTCTCGGCTAAACTTTCATCTTCTTGGGTAAATACGCTATATGGACAAATGTTGTATTAAAAAAAACAACCTGTAGTCACTGTTGCTTCCATGCCTTTTCTGTGTTGTTTCATCTGACTTTAATGGGATTAAATTACATAACCTGAAAATTTTTGTTGTACTCCTACGTAGGAGTTTGTTTTCTCTCAGTTGATAATGGAAAAAAAATACTAAAAAGAGGGAATGCATCTGGCAAGGTTTCTAACACAGCTCTGGAAGGGTAGATGTTACTGTGAAATTGGTTGCGTTTGGATCAAGGTGACGGGCAAAGAGAATCTTCCTTGGAAAAGAGGATCTGGAGGAGTGAAAAGAAATTTTGCAAATTGCTATTTTAATACCTTTGACTCATGTAACCCGTTTCCAAATTGCAACAAGGCAGTGCTAGTTTTATGGTTAGTTTACCGCATCTCACCAGGTTTTGCTGTCCCCCAACCCAAGCTTTTCATTGGTACATAAATATATTTGGCAAAACCCAAATTCTCACCGTAATGGTGACATCTAGTGGTGCGTAATTTCTTTCCAGCTTGCCTTTCTGGGTCCTCATGAAACACAGACGTAAAACCTGACACTTGATAGTTAGAGAAATATATTCAGCTTAGGTTTTGATTTGGTGATGTTTCCCTTCTCCATTTTTAAAAATCAATAATGCTTTAGGGTTATAGAAGGAGTTTTGGTAAGTGGTGTGCTCTTGTGTGTAGCACATAGCTTTCCTTAAGATTTTACCCTGTATAAATGTGGAGTTTCTGTTGTTTTTAAGGGAACAGTTGTTCTTTTATTATTAACTTGTTTTTTTTGTTTTGTTTTTTATTTCAGTCAGTTTACAGACACGGGACAGAATAGGCACAGGAGGTTCTGTAGTAGACTGTAGAGGGCTTTTGGAGAATGAAGGGTAAGGATTGTTTTCTTTACACTTAATTAGAAAAATGGTTTATATGTGGAAAGCGTATAATTAACACTAGAAATATTAAATATCAGTGTGACTAATATATTGTCTGGGAATAGGTATCAGGTAGTAAGGTTATAGCTGGATGCTTACTTGAAAAAAATAAGCTACACTGGGTAGGGCTTGATATTTTTTGTTACTGGTGCTTCTGGCACTTCCTTGAGAAATTTGGGGTATAAAAACATTAAGAAAGTGGCATATCTTGGGTTAAAAGTTGCAGTACTTGAAGTAATGGAGAGAGAGAGAAACAGTTATTTCTGCATTCACTTCTCTGTGATGGAAACTCTTGAAGTTTCCCCATTTTCAGAACGGTTTATGAAGATTCCGGACCGGGAAGGCCACTGAGCTGTTTCATGGAGGAACCAGCACCATATACAGACACTACGGGGGCTGCTGGTGGAGGCAACTGTCGCTTCGTAGAGTCGCCCAGTCAAGATCAGAGGCTTCAGGCACAGCGACTTCGGACTCCTGAAGTCAGAGCTCATGTACAGACACCTCAGAACAGACCGCATGGTCACCAGTCGCCTGACCTACCGGAAGGCTATGGTAAGAGTTTTCCAGAACTATAAAACTGAAATTTTTTTTCAAAAGACTTCAGAGGAAAATTCTCCCATATTAATATATAGATGTGGTTTGCCTGTTAGAACATGCAGCATCCACGTGCATCTAATGGTCTGCCTCTTGGAAAAGGAACTAAGCAGTGCAGATGGGAGTTTGAGATTGGTTAATTAGCAGTTGGCTACGCCAGGATACACTGAGGGGTTGATGGTAAATTAAACATGAGTTTGTGGTATGATGCTGTTACAGAAAATTCACTGCTAATCTTGGCTGTGTATCTAGGGAGAACGAATGTAAAGAGCTCTTTAAACTAGAGCAGTAATGCTATTTTTTCCTTCCCCCTTGGCATGTTGTGTAGGTTTGAGCCCACGTTTGAGAAAAGATCAGGAAAATATAAAAGCAACAAAGCAGCCAGTAGTACAGAAGATTAGGGAGGATAAGATTAAGGAGAATTTAAATCTCGGAAAAGAGCATACCAAATCTAGGAGCAAAGAAATCTAGTTTGGGGATTTGGGTTGTCTCAAAATCTAAAAATAAAAATACAAACTAAAACACATTGGTGCATGGATTTGTGAGTTTCAAAAGGAACACTGAAATGTGTAGTCAAAGTAAATTTGTGAAGGAAAAAAAGTCCATGCTGCTAGAGATCAGGGGGATGGCTGAAGTACTTTCTCCTAGGTCTGACAAAGATAATAGTCTAGTGGCTTTAAACAAACTGTTCATTCAGACTTTTTCAGATTTGTAATTTAGAATAATCTTTCTTCCTCTTTCATAGAACAAAGAACAACGGTGCAGGGACAGGTTTATTTTTTGCACACACAGACTGGAGTTAGCACATGGCATGACCCTAGGATACCAAGGTATGTATTTATAGTTACAAAGGCGGGGGGTTTGATGTGTGTGTGTATGGCAGTAAGCTGAATCTTTAAGAGCAAAAATCTATGAAATGGCATGTCTAAATTTAGAGAGAGCTACAAGCGGAGGAATAATTTTGGATCTTTCTAGCCAGCTTTTCACCAAACATTAAGGATTGCTCCTTTTCAAAGAAAGAATTATCTACTTGTGAATCATGTAAAACAAAAGGGGAAAAAAATATGTAGCCCTTCAGGAATTCCCATTTGCAAATTCTTCCTAAAATATCCATGTGACTTTGTTTTTTGGTGAACCTACAGATTTCTGAGTCTTACCTAACTTTTTTTTTTGGTATGAAAACAGTTTGGACTGCAAATTGAAGGAAAAAAGTTACTACTTTCTTAAAGCCATTGTTTCCTGAGTATTGAACTTGCAACTTTTGCTCTAATAGTGCTCACGTATAACTGAAGCACGGATTACTTGTCATCTTTAAACTTGAAGTGGTGAAGTTTTTTATGCTTTAGACCAATGATTTGCAGCTAGAAAATTTGAATCCTTCACATGATTAGTTTAGTAAAGCGTCTTTAAATCTTAACCTGCAGTTAATCCAGGTCTTTGTGACTAAAGTGTGGTGCTCTTCCTCGAGGAGCTCTGAATCTGGGCTGTTTCGCTGGTCCTCCTGCGCACCAGATTCAAGAGTGAAACACAAAGTTTGTAACTCTTCAGCTGATGCACTGGCAGGATAATACATGAACGTGGAACAGGATATTAGAAAAATGATATGAAGTAGTGTGGGCAAAAGTGTTGATAAAACCACGGTACATGAAAGGATATGAAAAATAAAGTTGAGAGAGAGAGAGAAAATAGCTGATGTTAGATTAGCTGGTATCGTCGGAAGAAGAAGTGACAGTGCTTACTCCTTCATGTCACTCCCGTCAAGCTTCTGTGCCCAAAGCCTTGTCTCTTCTTCCAGTGAAGCTGGTTGGCCTAATGAAAGGTATTGCTGCTTCTCTCAACAAATCTTAGAGCCAGGTTTTCGGGACCAGCGATGTAAGTGGACACAGCAGTGTCTTGTGAGTCACAGGTCACTGTTATTTTAGTTAAAGGTGGCTTTCTTACTACCAAGTTGCAGCGCAAATCTAACCTTGGCATTTAGCACAGATGTAGGTTAAAACTTGCTGTAATCAGATCTCTAAAGTACTTTCAGATGCACAGCTGATTGAGACAAGTGGTTACAACCATAATCTTCTTCAGGAAGCCTAACAAAGGCTTGTCTGTCTGCCTGTGTATCCCCTGGTGGCTTATACTTACTGTGACACTAATGAAGCATTTGGTGTACAAAGTGTTTTTACCTTTCTAAAGCCTCTCAGTTTACTCATTTATACTGATCTTGCATGGTTAAGATTTAGGTAAGGAAATACATAGAGTGGTGTCTTCAACCCTGGATAATAGATCATTCCATGCCAACTGTCTAGAGAATACTTCACTTAAAAATAGCTTTTTAGTCTAAAAAATAATCTACAGGTTTCCCTTATTCCTTTTCTTGCCATTCTTAGTATTTTCCTCTATTAGGTGGCTGGGCTCTTAAGCGTTTTCAGTTTTCTAGGTGTAAATACATCCTACGTAGTCAATTCAAACACTACCTGAAAGTCAGTGACTACCTTTAGCAGCACTCAGAACAATACCCAAAATTTATCTGGGATGAAAGGGGTGAATGTGTTGGTAAAGCCATACTCTCAATGATTTATAAGTCAAATAGTTAGGATTCTAACCTTGTCTAATTAAAGAGATTTTTTTTTTTTTCTTTAATGATTAGGTGATCTTAGTATTTGGCTGCTGTAGCCTCTTAACTTGCTTGGTCTTTGGAGACCTGGTTGGTGCAGGAGCCTTTGCTTAATTGTTTGGTTTTCTGCACATGGATAACGTTAGTGTTAACAGCAATTTTTCTATGAGATTTTTGCTATGATAAAATGTCTTTTCCTCCTTTTACAGCCCTCAGAAGCCCTGTCATCACCTAAATGATGATGATGCATGTTGAAGTTACTTCTAAGCTGTATGGCTTTGTTACTTTCAAAGCCTTTCAAAGACAAAAGGTGTTTTGCTGATTTACCTTTCTGTCCGTGTACCGTGCATACATAGGGAGTTGCACTGCTTAGACTGAGGATTCTAAAAAGACTGCATTAAAACAGCTATTCTGTCCTTCCTCCTAAGGCTTTTAACCTAGAATCACTGAGCACCAAATTCATTCCCCCCTCTCCCCTGAATGTAAATTTGGTTTCTTCAGAACTTCAGGAGTGCTTTAAGTTTTTGTTTGCTTTTCTCCTTAGAGACCTTAACAGTGTGAATTGTGATGAACTAGGACCTTTGCCTCCAGGTTGGGAAGTTAGAAGTACAGTTTCAGGAAGAATATATTTTGTAGATCATAACAACAGAACCACACAATTCACAGATCCACGACTACATCACATCATGAAGTAAGAACCTTGCATGATAAATAATTCGTCTCAAGTTTGGATTCTTAAACCTTTTATTTTTGCCCAATTTTAACTACAGTCTGGGAGTCACAAGGGACTGAAAAACTGCATGGTAACGAGACTGGGGAACAGATGCAACCAGTGTTCTAGTCAGGGTCCGAGCATTGGTTCTCAGTGCTGGTTTTATCTAACCTTTTTGCAGAGACTCCTCAAAAATGCTTTTACCATGCTTTGCAGTCCTCAGGTTTAAGGGAGGGCTTGCTTATTTTGGCACAACACTGATCTCTTTAAGCTGGTTTGACAAAAGTGCCCCAAGCTGTGCTGGAGTGAATATGCAGTTCTGGAAATGCCTGGGTGTGGGGTAGAGGGTCTGCCAGGCAGTTCCACAGCAGTCAGCTCATGCCTGTCTGGATGAGCAGTTCTAGCTCTGTGCTAGCCACACTAGACCTGAACTGGCTTCGTGCTCCCTTGAGCTCCAGACAACAGGAATGTAAAGCTGGCTGGTGTCTAGTCGCCTGGTGCTGTGCACAGCCAGCTCAGGTTTAGCAGGATTTAATACGCTCAAGCTCTGCATCAGGCAAAGGCAGCTGAACTGTTAGAGAACTGACCCTGGAAGCAGCCTGGCAGTGCTTGCTGTGCCCAAGATCAGACATTTTCCTGGGTGGGAGTTGTCTGTGCTTGAAGCCATCTGGGGAATCTCTGTATCTAAAAAATCATTGCTCCACAACCCAAATAAAGCACTATAGATGAGGAGAGTTGAATGTGTGAAGCTGCAACTATTTGTGACAAGTACATCTTTCTCTTTTAATAACCATAGATGTAGTACTTTTACTGTGTCAAGAATCCCCCGCCTTATTTTGCATGGAGCTGGAATAAAATTCATTGCACTTGTTAGATAGTTCCATTTATAAAGCTGTTTGTGTCATTACAGGTCTCTTTTTGTGTTGCGCTCTTTAAAGTTATCTCCATATGGGAGAAATACCACACAAACTTTTTAATTACGGCTCAGTCAGCATTCAGTGATTGTGCTCCACAGCATTCCACAATGTATTGCCGTATAAAAACTGAGCTGAAAAATGCTGAAACTCTTTATTGTAAATATTTGTATTCCTTACGTCCCTGAATGTAGGGTAATGATGCTATAGAAATTACCCAGCTGAGTACACATTTCACACCAGCTGCTTCTTCGAGAAGCTTAATCAGTTTTCCCATCATTGTTTTATATATTCCGTATTGTCATGCTTCTAGAATAAATATTTTACTTTTCTTTCAAAGCCATCAATGCCAGCTAAAAGAGCCCAGCCAGCAGCCTCTGCCAGCTCCAAATGAGGGGTCACTAGAAGACGGTGAGGAGTTGCCTGCACAAAGATATGAAAGAGACTTGGTACAAAAACTGAAAGTTCTTAGACATGAGCTCTCTCTTCAGCAACCACAGGCTGGTCACTGTCGCATTGAAGTATCCAGAGAGGAAATATTTGAGGTATTTGATTGACTTTTTACTACTAATACCAGCTTTTGTCACTCAGGAGTTAAGTAAAACTGATCCCTGATCGCAGCAAGTTTGCTTCACGGGAGAGACAGTGAATACCACCAAGTGTTACAGAGTTGGCATTGGCTTCAGATTAGCACTTTAACAAAATAATGTTTTCTGTAGTTGAGTAACAATTTATGTATTACAGTAAGACAGCTTAGCAGACTTAATTACAGTAAGGAAATATATCTAATTGTAAAAATACGCTTATAGGAATCCTATCGTCAGATAATGAAGATGAGGCCAAAGGACTTGAAAAAGAGGCTTATGGTGAAATTTCGAGGAGAGGAAGGCCTAGATTATGGAGGAGTAGCAAGGTGAGATTTGGGGGTTTGTCTGACACTTTTTAACTGTGAAATTTTCCTTAAAGTGACCTGTGGCTGATATCATTCCCTTTCAGATTATCTGTTAATGGTATATGTAAGTTATTTGTGATCTAGTTTATAGGTGGTGGTTGTAGCTGCCGTGTTCATATCACGGTAGATTGGAAAGTGGAAGCATGTGATTTAACAATTGTCCCACAGCCCTCCTGGTGTCAAAGGCTCGTACTAAATGACTTGGTATGCTATATTGAGCTGATTTTAAACAACAGATTTTTTGAATATTTCTTTATACTGTACAGGTTGTAAAGGAGCAGATCTCTTAGTCTCCAAATATCTGAACTCTGTACGAAGTCAAGATTTTGTTTGGAAGTGGGTCTTGTTCAGGCTCCATTTGTTGATGGCATTGTCTAACAGCTTGCTGTAGCTTCTCTAACTGATGTTAAACCCTTCAGTACGTCTAAACTAAAACAAATCTGCCTGTGAGTGGAGTAAGATACTTTATGGGTTTTTAAGCATACCTTTTTGGTCTGCAAATGGAGGGTAGTACAAGGTGATCTGATTTTGAAATAAGCATTTCATAACTGATGACTAGTTTGATGATTCACAATAATTGTGTTGTCTGAAACTTAAGTGGAATTTGCACCCTTCTAAAATACTTTTTTTGGTTTTTTTGCAGAGAATGGTTGTACTTACTGTGCCATGAAATGTTGAATCCCTATTATGGACTCTTCCAGTACTCCACAGATAATATTTACATGCTGCAAATCAATCCAGACTCTTCTATCAATCCTGTAAGTATTAACTTCTGAGTGACATACCTACTTCAATAGACATCCCCTGCAGTTGTTTTGTTGTAGCTGTGCTTCCATGACAAGAAGTCATGAGGGGTTTTGTTCAGAAATTAAAAACATGAGAGAGGAGGTATCCTTTGGTAAATATCTGATTTCTTTGAGACTCCTCAGTACTGACTGGGATGCACGGTGATTCTGAGAAGGTATACGTAGGTGAAATTCATCTTCACTGTGAATGCAGGTGGTTGTGTAAACAGCATTGCATCCTAAGCAGTGTTCACCCCATGGCTGTGGGGGCTTACATGCCTTGCTTGCCCTTTCTCAGGAAACTGCCGTGCTTGCTTTTTTTTCTTACTGGAGAATTTGTATTGATGCAGGCCCTAAAAGGAGCAGCAATTCTCTACTAGTACAGGGGAATTTTTCCTGACATGACATTTCTTGACATTTGCTTTGTAAGATGGGGGGACAGATTGGAAGAATCTCAATGATAGGACTTATGTCTCAGTTTTCAAAAGTCAGTTTATAAGCAACATGAAAGGCATGAAGTAAGCGAGCACATGGCCTGCTTCCTCAAGAGCAGAAAGATTTTGATGATTAAACAAAGAACTAACTCATTTGCTTGGAATTGTCTTATCTTGGGTTCTAGGGATTTCATGGGGATTTTCTTTTCATGGGGACTTTCTTTTCATGAGTCTTGCCTTTTGAGAGGTCTAGAGGACTTGGATCCAATTTATTAGTCAGATAATGCACAGAGACTTGTTTGAGGCATTTAATCATTAAATGCTTCTGGTTTTGGTTATGTTATGAGGAAAAATAGTGGCTCCTCTTGCCCAGAGGGTTACAGATAGCTGACACTGAACATACAACTGATAGCGCAGATGTAACCACAAGATGTCAGTGTCTTCCTGCTGCCTGATTTTTCTCTTCTCTCTCCCTGCAGGACCATTTGTCTTATTTCCATTTTGTTGGTCGGATAATGGGTTTGGCTGTGTTCCATGGACACTATATCAATGGGGGTTTCACGGTTCCCTTTTACAAACAGCTTCTAGGGAAGCCCATTCAGCTCTCTGATCTGGAATCTGTTGACCCAGAATTACACAAAAGTTTAGTCTGGATCTTGTAAGTGCTGTATTTATCTATTGCCTTACTGTAGAGAAGAAGGGGTAGAGTATCTAGGCACTAATGAGATAATGCTTAATAGAAAACGTTTGCAGGAATCTTGTAATGGGGGAGATACGTACAAAATTGTTAAAACTACTGTTTCTATGTCAAGAAAGCTCAAGGTATTCATTGCAAACTCTTGTGTTAGCTCTCCTTGCAGCAAAGCAGGTATTAAATCATTAAACATTGCATGGATGCAGTAGAATATCACAGTATCAAAATCCAAACTCCAGACAGAGTTCTGAGGGGAAGTACAGTTCAAAAGAAAGCCAGCTTTGAATAAAAAGGGAATAAATGGAATTAATTTGGGCTGCTGTACATTTACAGTTCAGAACAAAATCCAACATTTGGTGTAGCTTTGGGACTCTTCAGCACTGCTTTGCATTATCTCGATTTCTTCTCAAACGCTCTTTTGAATTTTGTATTTGAAGTTCACTGCATTTGATCTCTTCTGTGCTTCACACCGATACTTGACAGCAATGTATGTATGTGTGTGTTTGTATATATAGGGTTTAATTCATTATCCTGAGTAGTACTAGGATTAGATGGATGACTCCTATTTGGTCTGGCTCTTCAATGTGTGTTAAGCTGTACAGAAATTGGTGATTGTGGCAATATTCTTCTAGTGGTGTGAAATGCAGATAGTTACTAGGTTTATCCTGAAGACTGAGTGTTCAAATTGCAGACTGTCAACATCACCACTGAATGCAATCAAAATATCAAAAATAGTAGGTTTACCTTTTATCTTTCCATTGCCAGAGAGAACGATATCACCCCAGTTCTGGACCATACTTTTTGTGTGGAACACAATGCTTTTGGGCGGATTTTACAGCATGAACTCAAACCAAATGGCAGGAATATTCCAGTGACAGAAGAGAACAAGAAAGAATATGTCAGGTATTGCAGAACAAAAATATATCCTGCAAATGTAGTGGAAAGAAGGTAGTAAGCAGATGAATTCTTTAATATAGTGAAACCAATGAAGTAAGTATTTTGGAGGGAAATACCTGAGTCGTAAATGACATGAGTGTGTTCACACAATGCACTATTGTAAGACCTGGGAAGATGAAGCTGTGAATTGTACTTTGTTTTTTCTCTTGATGGTGCAATAATTAATTGTTGATGGAAAAAGGAACTGATAAGCACTTCTTTCGTAACACAAAACGTGTATATTAAAACAAGTTCCTCTGTAAAATAAATGTCTTCTAGCTCTGCTATAAAAAGCCCAGTCCCATCTAGCTCATCATCCCTGACTTTTTCTTTTCCCCCCAGGTTGTATGTAAACTGGCGATTTATGAGAGGAATAGAGGCACAGTTCCTGGCTCTGCAGAAAGGTTTTAATGAACTTATTCCCCAACATCTCCTTAAGCCTTTTGACCAGAAGGAACTTGAGGTATATGTTTTATCCACATGGAATATTGTTTTGTAATTTGATCCACCATCAAGCACTGGTTTTAAAAAAACAAACAAACAAAAAAGAAACCCACAAAACTTATTCCAATTTATGTACCAGAAAGCTGTGTAGTCCTGCAAGTTTGAGGAATTGTTGGCAAGACCTAATGTGCTACCTACCCCACAACTTGTTTTCTTCAGTAACTTTTCATATATGGCTGTTTCTATATGCCCATAGGGCATGGTTTACAGGGACTAAAATATAAGTGTAGAGCATACAGAAAACAAATTCATGTCTTCCCATTTAAACCTGCGATGCAGAATGCTACCTATTAATATAACTGCTGTTATAGCAATTTGTCCTCTGGTTTTGCCTTTTTAAAAAAATAAGGCAACCTGTGGAATGTGGACCATTTGTGGGTATTGGAAGTACTAGCTTCGTGCTAGTCATTCGTGCAGACTGATTAATCCCGTGAAGTTATTGCATTCCCTTTGTTAGCTGCTTGAAAAAGCAGATTAAAAATCCGTTAAAAGTTTCAATACTGTCTGCATCAGAACAGTCACAACTGTCCTAATAATGTAAATGAGCATAAGTGGGTGCTGTCTTGGTGGCATGAAAAGGCAGCTGCTAAACGGTAGCTCTCAGAAACATGACCCTCAATATGAAATATTGTGGGAAATTTAGAACATGACGCACGTTTTGTTTTGAGGGTTGAAGCTTTCTCTGTGCCATTTTTTTGTCGTTGCCAGGGGAGGTGGCTAGGTTCCTGGCCAGCAGGGACTTCCTTTTACAGTATTTTGCAACCTGGTTTCATCTGGAAAAAGAGATTGAAGTAATATGTCTGGTCTGTGTCAGAGCCTCTCACAAATGACATCAGAAAACAGAGGCAAAGCTTTCGTGGTTTGTTGTGGAACAACAAAACAACTAGGATGTTACCCTGAACCAAGCGAGGTTCTGTTGTAGTTGGTATTGGCACTCTCTAGGGCAGACCTGCACCAGGACAATGACGTTGTGTAGCGCAGGAGATGGCGTGCCTTCTTCCAAGTCTGTGCTCTACCCTCATAAAGATACGCTGTGCTTTTCAGGTAGGGTGGACTTTAAAAAGCAGGTATTGAATGGGCTTCTGACGCTAGTTTCTTGTGAAAATTCCAGTTCTGGTAAGTGTACTCCTTGGCCACAGTTTCATTGCTGTTGAACTGGAGAGATTTACTGCCTGTTCCAAACTGTTTTGGAACACTACTGTGCACCAAAAAGGTGGTTCGAGCGCATAGAGAATGCTAGGCTTCATGAAATAGTTGATGTACGTTTTTATAGCTGCAAACCTGAACTGACTTTGAATGTTAAAGCATTTCCTAATCCTTTAACAGCTAATCATAGGAGGCCTGGATAAGATAGACCTGAATGACTGGAAGTCAAACACACGCCTAAAGCACTGCATGGCCGATAGCAATATTGTGAAGTGGTTCTGGCAAGCAGTGGAAACATTTGACGAAGAAAGAAGGGCAAGGCTGCTGCAGTTTGTGACGGGTTCGACGCGTGTCCCACTTCAAGGTTTCAAGGCTTTACAAGGTGACTGATGTGAAGGCCAAGTTAATCTGTGGTGGGAGAAAGAAAAATCCTGTGGTATTTACTAGCCCCTTGTAGAATATCAATGTATACTGGATAACTCGAGCACTTACAAACTTTAGATCCCAAGAGCCTTTTACATTTGTCAGCAGTTCAGCTGATGGTGAACACTTTAGCCATTGCTGGTAGTGATACAAGCTGGTCAATCTGTCGTCGTGTAGCACTTTGGTGTCAGTATGAGCTTACTGGTCTCCTACAACTCTGTGGCCCGATGTTGAAATCCTTGCGTGCAAGCACGCGCATGATTATCGGGTTGACCAAACAACTTTTTTGCATGAAAATTGTATTCCCTTCATTGCTTGGCAACAAACCCTTAGGCTTTAAAACAAGTTCCTGAAAATTGCAATTTTTGTCACCAGAAAAGATGGCAGTGTCCTAGGCTGTCGTGATTCTCCTGATACTATTCTGCCTGTTGCCTGACAGTAAACTGATGTTCAAAATTAAAATGCATAGTTCTGTTTTACAAGGAAAACCTTCTTGCATTTAAGCCTTTTCATTTTTGAAGGTGCAACTGTGTTAATACAAAATTTAGCAGCTTTCCAAAATACTAGTCTGCAAATTCATTGTCATGAATAGCCCTGTCGCTTCTGCCATCCATTCACCAGCTGCAAATCTGATCTACAGATTTAGCCTATGACATACTTAAGTTTGCAGCTGGAACTGTGATTTTATCTCTTGCCTTTTTATAAGCAGCAAAATCTGTGTGCATGAATGATGTTTTGTTGAAGCGCATTAACTAGAATGTCTGTCTGCAAGGTTCTACAGGCGCTGCAGGACCCAGACTGTTTACCATCCATTTAATAGATGCAAACACAGACAACCTTCCAAAAGCCCACACTTGGTAAGATGAAAACATTCTGCATGTCAGTGCTTGCTTTCCCTTTGTCTTGGTTTAACGGAGTCATCTCTGGGTGTCCTGGGTATGGATTAACCACATGACATGCATAGGTGACTCCAGGTGTGCTTTGCTAGCTTGGAAATATCTGTACTCTGCAGCCAGCAAAATAAGAGTTCTCTTCTTGTAGCTTGATTTGTCTTCTGTACTATCTGTGGTTTTCATTTATCCCAGAGTCGATTATTCTGGATAGTGAGATGTTTCTGAGTTTATTTCTACGTGTTCAGCAAGAGTATTCACTGAGAAATGACTCACAGCAATGAGGCCTCACGCAGGATTACAAGGAATGGTTTTCAGATGTAAAAAGTGTGCCGTTGGTACGGTGTAGGCACAGAGCTGAGCGCTGTTACGGAAGTCTCACTCTATCAGAGACAGGAAATCATTTCAGCAGCGGCACAGATTGTCTGCAGGCAGAGCAGGGGGTGGGCCGCTCTGATGTCTCGCTTTATTTGCAAGTCTCCTGCATCTCCCACCTGCCTCCTCCTCCCAAACGCTGCCCCATCAAG